TCGTCATTTTCCAAATTTAGACTTTGTTAAAAACCGTTTATTTTTTAGTACGTACGGTCGTGGGATGGTGAAAAGAAATCGCATCTATTAATTCACTACCGGAACATTTCACATTCCCGTTAATAGGTTCAAAGACTTACAGAGAAGTGATGGACCTCATAGATTCACAATTGAAAAAGCAGTAGATATCACTCAGTTGCCAAAGAGTCATACCTGGTACGTATATTTTTCATTTGTTATTGTGAAAATTTTAAATTAGCAATTTAACCTTATATTTATATTATAATAGCTTTAACCGTATTGATTTGCCACAATATAAGACCTTTAAAGTGTAAGTCTTATTCATTTATTTATTCATTGACTGACTAATTCACAAAATTTTGATAACGAATCGAATAAGCAAATTATGAAATAATCAAAGTTTACTAAAACATTATTAATAAATGTGACGATGCACATTTACTATAATGAATCAAAATAAGAATTACGGTTGATACTTGTGCGATTAATTAATATTTTATCAAATGTTGTTATCACGTTTAAATCGTTAATAGTTCAGTTGTTGCATGATAAGGTTACATGTGTGATCTCTATGAATACTTAATTAATTGTAAATTTTGTCAAGCCAAGAATAAAAAAAAGGGTGGTTTGTTGTAAAATAGGTATAAATTGAAACGATAAACTCACGTATTATTTTTTACTAGTAAAAATATATTATATTATTTCATTATGATTATAAACACTTATTCTCTTAAAATATCTTCTGCCAAGTAAAATTTATTTACTGACACATTGACTAGACACTTGAGAACGGCCAAAAATTTAATTATGTTACATAGTAAAATACGTATTAATTTTACAAATTATATTAATTTATTCAGTTATATTAATTTAACTAAGTTAATTAATTTATGTTGATTAAATTGACTGGGTCAAGTTTAATTTGAAGGTTAATGTAACCTGTAACAGTAGCAATAAACATGTTTTTTAGAAAAGAATAAATACTGGGAAAATCTCTTAATTGTATTAATTTGTAACGCCTGATGTACAAAGTAGCGTAACCTGCACCTCCTGGTGCGATACTTTTTTGAGATAGCGTGATTGTCCGTCGATGAAATGACTGTCGGGAAAATTAATAATTGGGAAAATAACTATTTCGGTAAAAGAATTGTTGTTGGTAAAATGACCTCAATCTACCATAGAATGTATTTCGCTTTCTAATTCAATACCTACCATAGAAGATACCTGGGATATAAATTAAAAACACATATTTCTTATAGATACTAACGAATTCAATAAGTTATATGAATCCATTGCAAATTAACATTGAACGATGCTAGTGTGTCGGTTTAGAAAGAGACTAGGTATATTTATATATATATATATATATTTAAATCAAAATATCTAAGCATTTTAGTGATAGAGTAATTATTAGAATTATTAGCGTTTATATTTTTTACCATTGTTCTATAACATTGAATATTGATACCAAAAATGCTAATACTAATTTATAAAGTTCTATTTTTCTTGTAATGATAACTTTAATAATGGAATTTTGTAAATATTTAATGGTCATAAATCGCTAATGTGTAAAAAAAAAAACAAAAACAAATGTCTTTTTATAAAATTGGAACATGTTTCTCTTGTCAAAAGTGCCTATTTTGTTTTATTGACCGAACTCAAGATTTATGTGAATGTAATGTCCAACAAAAACCAACTCACAGTAAAACTCGTTCTAAACAAATTTATAGTAGACTTTACAATCCTGATGATATTCAAATAAATCAAAAAATGTTTCTTGAAAGATTTAATCATCTTTTTGCATACAACTGTGATTTTAGTCAGCCATTTAATTTTAGTTTATGTTTAATTTGCCATTCATGATATAATCATGCTAAAAAAAGTTTTGAAGATACTGACTTCTCTTCATCTACTACAAGTGTTTCTGATCATGATAAAAAAAGAGTTAAAGATACTAATGTTTATTCAGCTATAAGTGTTAGCGATGATGATTCCGACTCAACAGACTCAATTTTGTCAGAGGAAGTTGTTACAAAATTCAAAGCCAAGGTTATAATCGAACTTGATAAATCTGATTCAATTCCAGCAAAATGGTTCACATTCGAATTAGATAATTTTGGCATTTTTCAAGATAGTTTAGTTAAGCATATTCAAATATGCATTAATGATGATAATTTCGATAAAGATGATATTCAGGTCTCTTATAAAATTAATAGTCATGGACAGTCAATGGCTTTAGATAACAAAGATGACTATGATGCATTTATTATTGAATGCCGAAAGTTAGTAAAGTCAAACAAATCTATGGTATTAAACATTGCACCAAAGTTACCTAATAATAAACAAGGTAATAAAAAAAGAAAAATTAAGGTATGTTATTTGATTTTATATTATATATTATTATTATATATAATAAATTGTAATAGAGATTACACATTTATAACAGTATATCTAATATATATTTATAGAATTCAAATGAAGAATCTGGTGATTCAGATATAGAGATACTGAAAATAAAAACTAAAAAATTAAAAACGGATTTTGTACTAAAAGAATCCAAACTTAATGCTAATGAGATCGAAATAGCTGCTATTATTACACAAATTAGAACAAAATATAACTGCCAAATTCATGCTATGCCCTGCTACATCGAAGATGGTAAACATCTTCCATTAATACCTTCACGCTTACATTTGTGGGCAAGAGACATAGTAAGTATTATCACAATTAAGGAACTAATATTTTTTTTTGATCGCACTGTATTAATATATATACATATATATACTGTATATATATTCTTATTTGTAGAAATATAAACTTACCACTATTGAAACACCACCTTCGTACCCAGCTTTTGGTATAGTTCATGCTATTAAAGTTAATACCCAAGCATCATAATTACAATCGCCACATGTAGTTGCATTAAGTTCGGTTTCAATTCCAAGTCTTAAAGAATTTTTTGAGGAGTTAGATAAAAACTATAACGATAATAATGATGAGGCTTATTTAGATTTAATACCAATATTTGAAGAAGAGAGAATAACCGTAAATGCTATTAAGGACTTAAGTGATTCGGAATTAATCCAATTAGGAGTTACCAAAATTGGGTGACGAAAAAATATTAAACAGGCAGGAAACAAATATTGAAATATAAATTTGGTATTGTGATACACTTATCATAATATTTTTTTAACAGGTTTGAAAATATACGTAGAACAAGTTTTTTTTCATTATAATAGATAGCTTATTTTTTTTTATTAGATAATTAATGTAGTAGCAGTAGGTAGAGTTGAACATATCAGATGGCATAATGTAGTAGTAATATGTGACATCACTACTCAAATTTTATGATGTAATAAAATTTTGTTTGTGATTGTTATTTTTTTTAAATATGAATATAAAAAAAAAGGTACACAAAAATCATCATATTGTCTTTTTGAATTTCCAACACTGATGTGAAGGTAATTAATTATCTTTGGCCTTTTAAAAACTATGATACGTATTTGATCCAAGTGATTTGAAAAAACTGTATTTTTTTATAAATGTAATTTGCGATATGTGGTTGTAACTATTAATTCTGTTACTAAATAGCAAAGTTGCAAAAAAAAAAGGGTGCCCTGTAGGGCAAGAATTTTATTATTATTATTTCTCTAATTATATTATTCTTACTTATTGATTACTAATATAATATATAAAATATTTCAGTAATTTATTTATGCTATAATCGATCATTTTTCATCTGTGCCAAAACCATTACTAGATCGATCAACATTGTGCAGAATTGTCATGTTCAAGTACCCACATTATTTTGTAAAAAAAATTATCATACACAATACTGACACAAATAATATTAATAAAACTTATTTTAAATAACCCATTCCACGAAAAAAATTTACTGCTATCTCAGATGTGATCTGTGCACATGCTACCATGAGCGCATAAAATGGATCATCCGTGGCATTCATAAAGTCCCTATTCCTCTGAATCCAGCATTTAATAGTACTAAATGCAGTTTCAATAGAATTATAATCTGGAAAATATGGCGGCAAAAAATTACATGACATCCAAGTTCTTCTACTATTTTAACAAACATTTCATTTTGATGAATCTTTGCGTTATCAAGAACAATAACGCTATTCTTTTCTGGAAAAGGATTCATCGTGGGAATCTATTATTAAATATTTATTTTAATAATAATAATGTTTAAATAGTAATAAAATTTAATTAACTTACTACTTGAGATAAAATAAATTCAAAAAACCACTCTTTATCACAACTACCTTCCATAATATCAATAGCCAAAAAACCATCTAGTGAAAGAGCAGGTAAAATTGTATATTTTTTGCCATGAATGAAAGGAATCTTTTTTTGTGCTTGAGTATTAATAGGTGCATATCCATAATATTGGTTCAAACTGCATTCATCCTTTCCAGATTCGTCTATAAAGATCAACTGGTCTGGATGATAATTAGCCCCAATGTTAGCCAGGTAAGCACTCTGCAAAAGCTCATTTCTCTCAGAGGCCATTTTGTGTAGCTAATTAAAAAAAAAATAATATCATAATAAAGTTAATCGAATTGGATTACATATTTAAAATTTTTAAAAATATAACGTCGCATGACGATCATGTACGAAAAAAAAAAAAATTAAAAAAAAATTTTAAACTATAAAATCAACTTGTGTACTAGAAATATATCTCGCAAAAGATGTCGATATTTATTATCTTCATGTGAATTGCATTAAATCATACACCTCATATCTTGCACAAAGTAAATTTTAACTAAGACAAAATCCACCTATTATCTGATTAAAATTTGGCCTTAAATGAAGTCATTTCGCACTTTGCTATGTTTTGTAAAAAATATATATACTAGTTTTACTTTGAGAAACAACACATCTCTTGTAAATTTTGTTATATATTATAATTTACTCTAATATCCTAAACCTAATCTAATAAATTTTATTTCTAATAATAATACATTTTTTTATTAATTTTAGTTACCTTTTTGCAAGAGATACCACAATATTTCAATAATTTCCATATGGTTGATACAGAAACTCACTTTTGTGTATAGTTTTCCATCTCAATTGCAAGCTTATCAAGATATAAATCGACTTTCTCTTTAATGATGCATTTTAATAAGCCTAATTCATCATGGGTGAAGGTTTTTCTGCGACCACATTGTCTTTTATAAGGATTTTTAACACACCTCCACTTTTGAAAAATGTTTAATATTCGGCGTATAGAAGCTTCACTTATAAAAAGAAGCGTAGCAATATCTTTATTATTATACCCCTTCGAATTCAAATAAACGACTCTCCATCTTAAATCTTCACTAAGTTCCCATGGCATACTGGATCAGAAAGAGACTCGAAATGTAATGTGGATATGTGGATATATAATTATTAGTAAAACTGTAAGTAATTATTGTTTGTATTTAAAAAAAAATTTGGGATTTTATAGCTAAAGTTTCTTGTACTTGAGCACAACTTTATACTATTTGAAATGATTCGAATTATTTTGATTATAAAATGTTTATGTTCCTTAAATGTAATGTTCCTGAAAAATGTTAATGTTCCTTAAATGTAATGTTCCTGAAAAATGTTAATGTTCCTTAAATGTGATATAATGTTCCTTAGATGTATCGTCATTGTTTTTTAAACATTAAAATGGTAAGTTTTTTAAAAATGTTATCAGAGTTTCCATGAACAAAAAGCATAAATAACTCCTACTTATGATTTCACCCAACATATGAAACGTAACAAGCATAATTGATCCATACTTTATTTTTTTGAAGTACTATATACGTATGTACAGAAAAGTTGATAAGAAAAAAACAAATTAATATAATTAAAATAACTGTTAGCATATATATTTCTTATTTCTGTATTATATTCGTAGAACCTACCCCAGTAATACTAATTTTAGAGGCATCGATTCAATGTTACAATAATACGTAATCTGATCTCATTAGATCTTTTACTATATTAATTCCATTAGGTGACCTAGAAATCTATTTAACATGGACTGTTATTAAAATTATTCATGTTTTATCTATAACTCTCCCGAATCGATGGAGTGGGATAACACTAAATAATAAGAGATAATAGGTTCAATTTTTAGGTTATTTGTAATAGATAATTCGAATAAGAAGCAATAAGGCTATATCAAATACAACCATCTTATTAAACTTTGCTTAAGAGCACATTCTATATTTGTACTATCTTACAAATATATTTTATAATTTTAAAATGGTAAAACTTCTTATTGAAGATGAAGTTCTTGATCAAATGAAACTCTGACAAAAAGACGAAGCATTGCTGAAGGGCTAAACTATATTTAAAAGTTGAGGCTATGGCAAATCAAAATAAATCAAAATAATATGAAATTTTGACATATTTAATTTGAAAATAAAAATTTTTTGGAACGCATTTGTCAGGATTTAGACAAGAGAAGAGTATAAGTGGATTTTATAGGCTTAAAAGAAAATTCCAAATTTTATTTTAATTTGATTTGCAACAATAATTACGGTTTGAAATGATGTATTAAAATTGATTTTTTTTTTTTGTTAGATTTTATTTCGAAATAACTCGGATGAAATGAACCGTTTTTTTTTTTTTTCTTAGATTTTATTTCGAAATAACTTGGATGAAATGAAACATTTTTTTTTTTAATATACTTAAATTTTAGTAGGGTGTTATTAGTAATATTCTGGGCCATGAGGTGGGATGGATCAGTCCTGAAAAGACCAAATAAGGACCGATCTTTTAACCAGTCTTATGGTTAACCGATCCTCGGTCCTGAGACCGAATACGTATCATTTCATTGACAATCGCTTCATCAAACACCCATCACGCAGAGCGATGATTAATATTAAAAGATTGTTTGATGATTAATAATCATTGTTCAATATTACTCTTTACAATGCATGATGGGGTGCTCACTGAAGTGACTGTCGATGAAATGATATGTATCCCCTGAGACCAGTCTGGGCCAGTCCTCATGAATAATTCTATTAACAACGTCATATGATTTAATTTTCTCTGCTAGCCAATAAGATCAAATAATTAAGGACCATTATTGGGACCGAGACTGGACTGAAAACATTAATAGACTGGTCTTTTTAGGACCAGACGGATTGGACCAGACTTGTCCATCTCTACCGTGAGATATTAGCAAAAACTTTGTTTTCGCTTATACATATACAGAACAAAATATTAATGATTAATTCATTGTAATCTTGGTAGAATCAAGAGACTAGGAGTTGATAGGATATAATGAATCCAAAATTTGCTTACGTGATGTTTGAATTCGTGTAACTGAATAGCAATCACATATATTTCAAATAGTAAAACCTACTTTTTATATTTTTTCTTACCTCAATAGAGATTACTTTTCACAGAATGGAACGGAGTCAAAACGACGTTGTTGGACTTTAAATTACTCTATTACACTTAAAGCTTTTATTTCAATAAAGAATTTTCACGACTTACTATGAATGTGACACAATATTTTCCGCATTTAGTAAAGTTTTTTTATTCTTATACTTTTTGCTACTGTATAATATCTAATACCCAGGTCTTATTGGATTTTGACATAGAAACCCAATTTATAATAAGTTTGGTTTTGGATTGAAACTAATACCAAAAAATCTAGGTATTCAGTAAAGTAGTACTGTACAGTGGTATGGATTCGAACGGACATACAAAAATTATACTAAATTTTAATCATACGTAAGGTTAACATAGGGACTTGTAAAATTCAGTTTTTATGAGTAACCCTTTTTATGTTCTGGGTTAGGACAAACGTCAGCATTGTTCTTTTTTCTTATTAGGGTATGAATAGGTAGTAGGAAAGTAACTTTGGTTTGATAAATTTTTTCTTTTACAAACCGTATGTACTATCATGATTTCTACGAATCCTTCCTAATTTGCGTTTCGGTACTATACTACTTTACTATGTATTCCAAAATCTTAATCCAGGAACTTACATTAGAAGATACTATAGCAAATAGTACTTGAGTTTTTTATTTACTTAAAAAAGGATCAGGTATTGACATACTATATGATCTTAAAATAGATTGCCGTTCATATTAATTATGAAATAGATATGTTCCATGTATCTCAACTCGAAAGAAATTTTTTAATTATGTAAGTGCTATTAATTTTAAATCTACATATAAAAATTAAAATTTTTAATCAATTTATATTTTATTTGAAAGCGAATGGTTATTATTATTATTATTATTATTATTATTATTATTATTATTATTATTATACTTATTTTCGATGATATGATCATTATCATTATTGTTATTTTTATTTTTATTGTATACTAAATATACAGTAAGTTTATAAGAATAAATATTTGTTCAGATCTTTAATTAACAAATAGCTCAGTATGAAGTTTGATTTCTCAAATGGTATGAATTTAATAAATAATTAAGATGTTGAGAAACAATACCCGAGTGAGGATTAATTTGGAGGGTATAGAATAGATCGAACATTTTATGAAAAAGTAAAAAGAAAAATTTGTAAAATAAAGCCATTTAACATGTGCTATGTTTACAAGAACATTTGAATGTTTTTAATAATTACCTAGTTAAACCACTGTAATACAATTCGTCTTCAAATTTAATCATCAACCGTTTTTTTAAGATCTTGTGGTTGTTATCACATGATTTCTGAAGCATCTTCAAAAATAAATTTGCGTCAGACTTTAAAGCATATTGACCAGGTATGGGTCGAAGAGCAGGTTGAGACCTGAAGTATCTACGAAAATCTCAGTTATATTGAGGCATATTTTGACTAAATCAAAAAAATAATTAATACAATAAAATATAAATAATTAAGACCTGATAGTATTAATGGAACTTATCAAGCATTACATACTCTAAGCTGCTAGGTAATCGAGAATCATTCCACATAGTAGTTTTTGTATTATATTGTGATTTCTGCTAATCTGACATTTTAAAAAAATGGGTAGAGGTGGTGCTTGCGGTAGAATACTTAGAGTTATCTGGTACCTTACTATTCATGTAACAGGATGGAATTAAGTCTTTGAAGATTACAATACCCAATTAATTAGTACTTATTAAAAACTTAAACCACAATTGATACATATCTTAAAAGGCTACAAGAATAAGGGATGGCCGATTAAGAATTCATTTTTCCTGGGAAAAGATTGTATGCATTTGATCAATAGAATCTTTAAAAATTGGTACAAATATATAAGATATATGAGTAATGTGAATATTAAGCAGTTATGTATATATAGATCAACATTATATTGCACAAAGAAATCTACAAAGTATACTCTTGTTGTAATTGTCAATCGTGTTTCCCGGCCAGATGGCAGTGGTCCTAGTTGAGATACAGGTTGCTGCTGAATGGTAACAGTGTTTGCATTTCAACCATGCAGCCTAATATACTATTGCCTACAAGATCTACCCAGGTAGTTGTTCTCGTGTTATGATTCACAAAATACGGTCTACCTTCTGGTGTAGTCCTTTGTTCTTAAATATAAAAAAAACAAATGTGTGTTAAATAGAAAGAAGAAAAATGATTGAATCAAATCGTGTACAATAATATCTGCTACACTAACGATATAGCCAGCAAGACTTATCTTCAAAGTGAAGTTTTCCGAGAGGCGAAATTCTTCTGTACAGTGAACGTTAATACTTCATTAACGTAACATTGTAGTTATTTTAGGATCGGGTGTAGTTATTTTAAGATGTATATAAATAACTACACAGTTAAATTAGTTACCTGGGCAATTTATCTGCTATTGTTTGGTGAACAATTATAGAATTACATAAAATCAGGCATTGATCTTCAATCAATGTGCTTAGCCAATCAAGTGTACGGGTATGGGTGTACGAGTGTACATCGTAAAAAAAAATTTATTTGCTATTTTCAACTATTTCGAAAACAGTGATAATCTTCATCCTCCAAATGAGCCATTTAAATTTCTAGGATGTTGGTTTACACTTAACAACAAACAAGCAAAACAAA